CAGCGTGTTTCAGCTGATCTATCGTGGTTTCGCCGGATGGGTCACGGCCGTTTGCCAACGCGCCGGTGGTGGCTCGCTCTGTGCCCCGCCTCGCCCCTCCTCTCGAAGCTCCTTCGGTTGGGCGTTGGTGTGCCTGTGTGGTTTGGGTTTATCTGTCTGTCTTGACTTTAGTATTACCTGCCGCAAATTGTGCGCTCGTCGCCCGATTGCGGTAACTTGTCCTATCGGCGCTAGGATCATGAGTCGACTTGCTATGTCAAGCTCTAATACGCCTGCAGCTCCCAATCAATCAAATTTGGAAGTCTACCTTTCCCTCTCCGTCTTCACTACACCCTCTTCTCTTCGACTCGCCTTCAGCCCAATCTCTAGTATGTTCGTGAGAGGCCTATTCTGGTTCTTTTAGTGGCAATTTAAAATCTAATACTACCTGACTGTTAAAAGGCCAAAGATAATTGCCACCTTCAGACGCGCTGGCGTTTTAATCACTCGTGAAGCCAAACAGCAGGAGATGGTTGTAAAGTCCGGATGATCAGCCACGAACATTACTTGCTGTACTTTATCTGAAAGCATTTACCAGTTAGGCTGAGAGGCCTGTGACTATTTTTCGGACTTGTTTTCATGCAGCCAGTTAACACCTATCCCCCTCCTTGGTCGCTCTGGTTTTCTTTGCGCCGAACCCTCACCATACCCCAAAACCACTCTCTCCTCTCCATAACCCATCCCTGACATCACTCACTCATAATCACACTTAGCAATATTAGTAGTGCAATTTTAGGGAATGCCCATCAGGCGCTGGCGTTTAAAGTCGTGGAAGCCAACGCAAGGTGTTGGAGTCGGATGATCAGCCACGAACATTACTTGCTTGAGTTTTTTGAAAGCATCCTTGGGGCCAGCGCTATTTAAGGCCGCAAATGGCACCTTGGCGGACGATTTCCACGTTACTGCTTTCGGAAAAGTAAAGTAAAAAGAACAATATTTGGCGAAAATAACATTACCTTTCGTAAAACGTTGCGAGCACAACTTTGCCTTTAATAAGAGGATTGAATTGGCAAAAGTTCCTAGATAAGTCGTTTGATTTACTTCGCATTTTCAGCCTCTGAAGTGCCTCGTCGAAGAACTTGGGCACGTGGTTGCCAAGGAACTTATCTATGGACGATTTTTATCTCCCGAGTTTTGTAATCTTTCCTAAAGCGCTGCTGTCATGGGTCTCTGGTGGGGGGGGATAAAGGGCGATAAGATGTCCATATCTGCGTCTTCGTCTGTAGTCTTATTATCTTTGTAATCCTCTTCCTCCTTAGATTTTCTTCCTCTCCCTCGCCTCGTGTTCATCGGTAATACTAGATCTTTCCTTCTTTTCATCCTCGTTTCTTTCTTGTCTCATTTCAATGTTTCCTTCTTTTTCAACTCCCTCTCCTCCCCTGCTTCACTTTCTTTCTTTTCCGTTTTTTCAACTTCTTTTTCCTTACGTTTCGTCACCCATCAATCATGTCGCACTTTTATTATTTTTACAGCCGCTCTCTCCCCATTCATGTTTATTATATTTTTTCTCGATTTTCTCATTTCCCTCCGTCTTTTTTTTTTCTTTTTTTTTGCCGCCTTCCATCAGTCACCAACTCCCCCCCCCCTTCCCCCTCCCTCCGCCCACCCGTGTCTGTTCTTATCTTGCTTCATTTTGTTTAAAGCCAGATTAGTGGTCTGTGGATGACTCTTTCAAAGAATGACGCTAATTTCGAGGCAGGTAAATGAAATATCACTCTGGAAGATCTGATCTGTGGATCTCGGCCTGGTGATGAAATATTTTCATAATTATACTGTAGAGGAGGATTGTAGCCTTACTTTTGTTGTAACTGTATAGAAATAAGAGAACGGTATGTAAAACGAAACAAAAAGGATTTAAATACAGTAACGCATTTAAGCTTCCCGATGAACTCGTCTGTAAAGTACGTTTCTCGGCAGTGGTTAGGTTGCGACTGTCTGCGGTATTTTGTTGGTAATGAATGCTTCAGGTGAATGTTGTTGCGGCGGTGGTCGGCTTGTCATATGGATACCATGTGGTCCGCATTTTGATAGCTTAAACATTCTTTTGTTGGAGAATTACGTACGCCCATATGAGAGAAAATATGAATGTATTGCCAAGCAATACATATAACTACTATGGCGTTGTAGGTGTCATCTAGCATTGAGGTGTGCTTGGCTATTTTTAAGAAATATGTTAATTAAACATGGGCTGTGATAGTAGAGATTTTGAAATGTTTCAGCCTCGGGGAAAATAATTGCAGTTCGCAACGTTGAGCAGTCATTATGAGTGAAGAGAGGAGAGAGCTACAAGAGGTAATCGTAGTCGCCTTGCAAGCGCCGTGCATCTTGTCCCCTGGTGGGAGAGAGCGAGGTCCATGCTAAAATACCGTGCTCGTTTGCTAAACCTGGGAGCTCTCAGACCGCGGTTTAACTAGCCCATCATTCACAGCGCATTTTGAGAAAATATTGAGTAACGGTAGTCGAGAATATGCTGACGTGTGGGGAGTCAGTGTTTGATTTTTTTGGGGGGGGGCCCCATCAGTATTTATGTATACGTTAGTAAGTGGCATATAATAAGAATATGCAAAATAACTTATTAGAAAATGGACTTTCTGAAGACACTTAAAGAGGCTTTCACCCTTCTCCGGATTAGTTGTAATAGAGGCAGCAACGACCACAGTTTATACTAACTTCTTACTACTACTGTTGTTGATTTTCCTGGTTTTACTTTGCTTCTATTTTGTTGCAAGAGCTGCTACAGGTCCTGTAGCTTCTTCCTTAATACTACCAGTTATTTTTAATATTAATTTGAGGGAGAGCTTGGACCATGTTTGCCCTCAAGCAAGGAGGCTTCATGACGAAGTATGATATAAAATCTTAAATGCCGGCATGTGTTTTTGGCTGTCACATGTTCGTGAAGTGGAGATCCTGTTTGCGACAACATTCACAAACAGTCGTTTTTTTCTGTTGAAGAATGCAAGTTTTATCGTCCATGTACAGGGAAAAATCAAAATGGTATGAAGAGGTGATTGAGAATATTGATATCATTAATTGAGAATATTGGATAAGTCATCACATCACGCTTGCTCTTCAAAATCGCAAAATCGCCAACAATAGAGAAAGCCAAGGCCAGGCAGGCGGCTGTCACGATCTGCTTGCCTGGCGGAAATTACGTGTTCCCGGGACGTTTTCCTAAAATGTTATGAAGAATCAACAAAAACAGGAAAAATGCATGTCCTTGAGGGGAAGCCCCATGAGGGTTTCGAATTGTTATTGTCCTAGAGTGTATCTGCATCCGTTCTCGAGGTCGACTGGCTTTGGTTAATTGGCATTTCTTCATTTTACACGATGCTTATTGAATGAGCAGGTATTCAATGTAGAGAAATCGACTTTCGTAATGGTAGGCCTTGAGGCGGGCGAAGTGAAATCCATAATGTGAAGAAACGAGCTGTTCTCTTGGCCAACTTGGCTCTTCTTACACGTTCATGGTCGCGTGCTGTTCCGGACATTGATTTACGTTTCGGAAGGAACGCCGACGATCATTTTTTATATTTATTTTGTCATTTGTTAATGGTTTAGATTAAGTAATGTGCGCACATGGTAATTACTATGATGAATGATTGTGACTTTTTACATTTTTATGCAGAAAGTAGTTTTTAGGTCTGGGATATTACATCATACTTCATTGATTTAGTAATTAAGTTTTCAGATTATTAATAAGGCATTATCTTTTTTTTTAATATCAGTAATTACCTACCATCAGTTTATTTTCAAATACATATTATATCTTTGTGCACTATCGGTTATTATACACCTTCAATATATATTGGTCATTTAACTGATTCTTACCACATATTCTATTTGTATTTATCGCCAGTCATTGGTTACTTGCCACTCATCATTAGCCTGTCATTCCTCACCCTCCGTTACTCACATTCACCAGTCTTTACTCATTCTGATTTATTTACTCAGTGTTGATTGTGACTGATTGATATACTCAGTGTATGCTGTCCATGATTCACCACATACATAACCATTGTTTCATGTCCATGATTCACCACATACTTAACTTCACATTGTCCATGATTCACCCACATTTAACATTGTCCATGATTCACCACACATTGTCATATTTTAATTTAACTTCACATTGTCCATGATTCACCACATAATTTAACTTCACATTGTCCATGATTCACCACATAATTTAACTTCACATTGCCATGATTTCACACTTCACCATGATTCACCACATGATTTAACTTCACATTGTCCTTGATTCATGTCATGATTCACCACATGATTTAACTTTACATTGTCCATGATTCATGTCCATGATTCACCACTCATTTGCTGTGACTCACTGATTCACACATCAGGTCCTACTCTTTATCAGCTAAACTTGTTCCTCATCCACTTATTTCTTATCATATATCACTTGATTACTGCCTTGGTATTCATTAATCACTAAACACTAAACATTGTGTCACATTCAACACCACTTATCTCCTTTTTACTTTGTTACTTGCCTGCTGCTCATTACTGAGTACATGTTTGTTTCAGGTCAAACAAAGTAAATTACCTTAATTTCATGTTTGCTTTACTTTCAGGCACCCAACATCATGTGCGTCTATGGCAGAGATCATGTCTGTGCTCTTTTTCCACACAATGCGCTACAAGCTCTCGTCTCCCAAGGATGCCAGCTCAGACAGGTTCATTCTGTCCAAGGGGCATGCAGCTCCCATCCTCTATGCTGGTAATTTTTTTTTTTTTCCTTTTCTTATTAGACTAATAAAGAAAAAAGAAATGCATCCATCTCTCTCTCTTTATATATATATATATATATATATATATATATATATATATATATATATATATATATATATATATATATTATATATATATATATAATATATATATAAATTTTTTTTTTTTTTTCATGTCTTGCCTTGTGTTTTGCCTTTTTATATGGTTGAAGTCCCTTCTTAAAGGCTAATTCTTTGTTTTTTGGTATCTCTTAGCATGGGCTGAGGCAGGTCTGTTCCCCACTGAGGAGCTGATGAACCTGCGTAAGATTGACAATGATCTTGAGGGCCATCCCACCCCCCGCCTCAACTTTGTGGATGTAGCCACTGGCTCACTGGGCCAGGGTCTCTCTGTAGCTTGTGGCATGGCCTATGTGGGCAAGTTTTATGACAAGGCCTCCTACAGGTAAGGGGAACTGAAATGGAATGAAGTGTAATTTTTCATTAGTTACTTAATTTTTGAAAGATGAAGAAATGCTTGTTTTGTTGTAGAAACATTTTTTATAATTTTTTAGTATTGCCATGTGCTAAATACATGTCTTTCACAGAACCTACTGTCTCATTGGTGATGGTGAAAGTGCTGAGGGTAGCATCTGGGAGGCTTTGAGCTTTGCAGGAATCAAGAAGCTGGACAATCTGGTGGCCATTTTTGATATCAATCGTCTTGGTCAGTCAGAGCCCACTGCCTTCCAGCATGACATGGATGCTTACCGCTCTCGCCTCGAAGGTTTTGGCTGGAATACCTTGGTTGTAGATGGCCATGATATTGAAGCTATCTGCAAGGTAATATTCATCTTGGATATGTTGATAGCAGTTGTAATTCCAGGTTAATAAAAGGCCTTTAATGGCATTGTAAGCCCGACTCAGTAGTTATATTTGGTGGCAAAGTGATAAGACATAGCAGAAGCTAAAGTTTCATTAAGACATTAAGAAATTGCCAAGATGATTTATATCTCTTTGAATAATTTAGCTCCAGGAAGATATGTATGGGATAGGTGTAATAGGAAATCATGAGTAACAAATATAATAAGTGAGTCTAGTAATATGGTATTGAATAATTATTTCATTAAATATCAGCTAAAACATAGCATACAGTGCTGGATGATCATTGTTCTTAGTTTGATTAGTGTAGATTATAAACCCAGTGGTGCTGGGTAATCACACAAGTCTCTTTCTTTTGTGAAATTTGTTTGCATAGAGATGGCTCCACAAATACTCCAATTTACTCCACAAATACTCCACAAATACTCCACAAATACTCCACAAATACTCCAAAATACTCACAAATACTCCACAAATACTCCACAAATACCCTAAGTCCTCATCTGATCTCCGCTTTCCTTGAGTCTCTTGGGAAAAATATATTTTTTTCTAATGTTGATAGAATTATTGTTTTTATTGTCATCAGTTCTTTAAGATATGTGTTGTAATAATGATTTTATAGTTAGAAAGACAGGCAAGTTTCCTTTTTCTACTATGAGTGTTCTTATGATGAAATGATAAATTTAGAGAATTGTTATTCTTAAAAATCCATAACTAACCACTTGTGAAATGTCAGTATAAGTATAATTAGTAGATGTCTCAGACAATTTAAACATGCATTAATAATTTCTTAATATTAGTGTGTCAAATAATGTAATTAACAAGGACAGCAGTGTGCAGACCTAAATCCAATGTGAAAAAATAACACATCTTAGATTATTATGAGTAGATGTTATTATTTAGTTACCTAATTTATGAATTTAAATATTCAGGCATTCCATGAAGCTTCTCAGACAAAGGGCAAGCCCACATGCCTGCTTGCCAAGACATACAAAGGCAAAGGCTTCCCTGCCATTGAAGATGCAGAGAACTGGCATGGCAAACCCTTGGGGGCCAAAGCAGAGGAAGTAATTTCTGCCATTGAAGGTCAGATAAAAAATCCGGGACCAAACAACCTTGTACCTCAGAAGCCACTCCACGAAGACGCACCTAAAGTTGATATAAGCAACATTAAACTAGCCAGCCCTCCAAAGTACAACAAAGGTATGTCCCAGGTGTATAACTAGGGAATTGGAAGGTGAACTTCACTGCCATTACATGGCCCAAAATAAGGGCATTAGGCTTGCTTGAACAGACACTTTTATAGGTGTGTGGCTTGTACAAGAGTCCCCTTTACAATGTTTTCTCTTTTTCTGCATAAGCATATTTAGATTTTTTGCCATTTCCAGTCACCATATTTGTCATTTGATTTTATTTATCCAGATGGTAATAAATGTTTCCTTGCATAGACTCCATATCATTTCACTAAGTATTCCATATCTCAGTGCAAGAATAACAACAATAAGTAACATTTTGTTATTTGTATTTTTTTCTTCTGTAATACAACCTGTGGTACTAATCAGTGGCCAGGAATAGGATCCTGAGCATGAAAATAGAACCCCCCCTGGAGCTGGTACTCTTCGAGTCATGGCTCACAGACTACATTCCACACTCATTTATCAATAGAAATAATGCAAAAGCCCCTACCTAAATGCCCAATGAGGTTTGTACAATTGTAGTAAGTCTTTTCCATCACCCCCCAACCTTCAGCTGAAATACTCATAATAGCAAGTTTGCATCACCCTGGCCAACAATCATATTTTCCCATGACATGTTCATGTCACCTATCCTTCAGGCCAATTTTTTTCATAATGTGATGGGCATGTCATCTGGATCAGAAGAGTTAAAGGAAGAAATTTTTGTATGGTCACTAATAAAAAAAGATACATGGTTAAACCAAGATTAGTAAGAGGAATGGTAAAAAAAACTTAAATAGAATTCCTCTTAGATGGAGGCTTTGAAAACCAATATTTTATTGATATTCAATGCTGTTGACAGGAACATTTGCTTATTTGCAGCACTTTAAGAAATGTCTTCAAATATTTTTTATAGATCAAGTTTCCTTGTCTTTTTTTAAATGTAGCATGTAAGCAAGTGCATGAGGAAGGTGTCCTCAATGAGTTACCAGATAAAAAAAGGCTGTATAGTAGATAGAAATAAAAGGCTGAATGTAAAGATGCTTTTCCCCATACATTGAAATAGCAATGGTTGTTTTCCAGGTGACAAGGTAGCCACAAGACAGGCATATGGTACTGCCCTCTCCAAGCTTGCTGAGAACAACCAAAGAGTAATTGCGCTTGATGGTGACACAAAGAACTCAACTTTCTCCAATGCCATGTTGAAGACAGATCCTGCCAGGTATATTGAACATTGTGTAGTGAATTATTTGAACAAAAATGTGATTGTTTTGGGCTGGTAAGAAGTCAGATTTTAAGATTAAGATTTTTAGACTTTTTCCATTTCTTTTGATGGAAATGTTAAAAATCAGAATATGTATAGAATATTGTATTAAGCATATAATGATATTTTTGTGCAATACATTATTCAGTATTTGATATTACTGATCATCTAAGTTTTGAACAGTGTGATCAGTACATGTTGAATCTTCAAAGTACCCTTTAATGTCAAGAATATGAAGTCGCATTATTTGACTGGACACAAGGATGAAACCCGTAATCAACTTTTCTTCCCTTTACTTGATTTTAGAACTTAACTATATCAATTTTATTGAAGCATGTGTTCTTTAGCTTAACAGTACTAGAGCATTACATTTTTATTATATATACATTGTGCTTCAATGATTTTTTGTATAAGTATTAGCAGGTTATGTGTAATTATGATTTTTTACCCGTGTATTGTAACATTTTAATCAAAATATAAAATATGTATTTATCTATTAAATCATTGATTTTTAAGTTTTGAATTTTTTATTTTAAGCTTTGAATTTAATTCAAATTGTACTAATCTAGGATTATTTTTTATTAGGAAAAAAAAATCACATGATCAGTGTCAATGAATGTAGTACTTTTCTTCAATGGGATTATTTTTTGTTATAATTCTAGGTACATTGAGTGCTTCATTGCTGAACAGAATTTGGTTGGAGTTGGAATTGGAGCAGCTTGCCGAGACCGTACTGTTGCTTTTGTCTCTACCTTTGCTGCATTCTTCACTCGTGCATTTGACCAGTTGCGAATGGGTGCTATTTCTCAGGTACTACTTGGTTTATAGTGTGCAGTTGTTTGGATTAGATGAGATTGCAGTACAAGACTAATTTGAAAGATGGATTTATGTTAGGATAGGGAGATGAATGTCTGTAAAGGAAAGTTATTATTTTTAAAAATAAATTTTCTAAATATTTGTTTCTATATGTAAATGATCTTGATGTATTTCAGACCAACATCAACTGTGTGGGATCTCATGCTGGCATCAGCATTGGTGAAGATGGCCCAAGCCAGATGGCACTGGAGGATTTGGCAATGTTCCGCAGCATTCCCTCATCCACTGTCTTCTACCCCTCGGACGCTGTGTCTACTGAGCGTGCCTGTGAGCTTGCTGCCAACACTCCTGGTCTCTGCTTCATTCGTACTTCTCGCCCAGGAACAGCTGTTGTCTATGACAATGATCATCAGTTTGAAGTTAGTGATATGCAAGACTTCTCTTGGCTTGATTTAATGCAGACTCAGTAGGCATTAAGAATTTTAAGAAATGACTTTTATACACTTAGTCTCAAATTTGCTTTTGTTTTTATCAGCCAAACCATTGGACTTTTGACAAATAATTTTTTTTTCAACTCCTGTCAGATTGGCAAGGGTAATGTAATCAAGTCGTCAGGCAGTGACAAGGTGCTGGTGATTGGTGCTGCCATCACCTTGAGGGAAGCCATGACTGCTGCTGATCAACTGGCTTCTGAGGGAATCAATTTACGTGTCATGGATCTCTTCACCATTAAGCCCATTGACAAGGATGGCATTATCAAAAATGCTCGTGAGTGTGGTGGCCGTATCATCGTCGTGGAGGACCATTATGCAGAAGGTAGGGAGGTTTTCTACTTTATAAAATTTTTTTCTATTGCCATAATATCAGGCACCAATGTGTTGGAATTCATATATGCATAATTTTTTTATCAGGGCTGAACCCTATTTGTATTAGTCCTTTTTTTCTGGTCATTATGAAGTTTGCATGAATACTTACAATTGTAAGTAGTTTGGATTACAATTAGATTGTACTTCTGTAATATATGCTCACACCCACTGAGTTGTATGTAAGTAAAACCAATCTTTTAATACTTTAGGTGGCATTGGAGAAGCAGTCCTGTCAGCTGTTGCAATGGAGCGTGACATCATCATGAAACACCTTGCTGTCCCACGTATTCCTCGATCTGGAAAGTGTGACGAACTCCTGGAAATGTTTGGCATCTCTGCTTCTGCTGTTGTTAAGGCTGCCAAAGAGATATCTAGCCTTTAAATTACACTTTTTGTCTCAGATTGTACTATGTTATTTGCATCTAGCAGACATATATATGCTTCCCAGTTGATGAAATTGTTAAAAGACAAAAAAAATATCATGGTAATGTCTATATTTATGTCAGCACTTCGTGTAAGGTAGTGGCAAGTCTGTGAAGGTGCTTTTAGAAGGTAACGATTGTCATCAATTTATTGGAACATTCCTACAGGAAACAAAACATTCCATTTTTGAAACTGCAGCCAGGTTTACAAATCCATTATATCTTTAATTTGTTTGTGATTTCCAAGATTTTTCATTTCTGTTTCAAGAAACTAGATCATTCCAGAGAACATGAAATATTCCATTACCTGCATTGTCAGGACACATTCCAGTTGGACTTTAAGGCCTAAATTTTGTTTTGCGAACAAGATCAGGTTGTTTACACAATGACAGTTTCTTTAATAATTCTTGAAAAAGGATTGATGTATGGTAGTTAATGCATGTAAAAGTGACTAATGCTAGTTCTTTGAAGAATGTGATTGGTAAGCTATTAGTTTTGTGAAACTAAGAAATGTTAATTGTATTGAATGTAAGATAATTGATGTTTATTAGAGATAATAATTCACATGTCTTAATGCTGGATGCACTTGTATTATTTTTCATGCAAGGAAAGCATTAATTTTTCCAGTTTTTTTGTTTATGAAGAAATTTATTGTTTTGTTATTGATGAATATTATAAGGCGTAGATTTGCCATGAAGTGGAATAAACGTACAGATTTATATGTTTTGTTAGATGACCTTAGGGGAAAAAAGTTTATTAGATTATTGAACATTGTGTAAGGCAAGAATGTGAGACAAAAATCATGTGAAATGAAGCTTCAAATCTCTTGCCCTATATAAAAAGTGTGGTATGAAGTGGATGTTCAAAACAGGTTTGACAAGAATTTTGATTGTGACTGTGTTGCAATATTTATGGCCAGAATTTGTGTGAATAACTGTTCTTAAACATTAATTCATAAATAAAACATAAATTGACACAAATAGGAATAAAAGTACTCAAGTGCAGACAAATCAAATCTGCTCCCCCACCATCTTCACAAGATGTTTCTGCATCTCGCTCAGTATCAATTCCCTTTACACTAAACCATCCTACGTCTACTCACTCTATCCACCAGTCAAATTCGTATTCCAGTCTAAATCCATATACTCCAAGCTCTGCTACTTCCCCGATACCTACCCCTCATCCTCACTTTATTTGTCGCACCAGGCAACCTAAACCTTTGCTTCTCAATCTTCACCCAACTCCCTTCCAGAAACCTTTCAAGACATCCAAAACCTCCTAAAGATGACCCAAGGGAACACCGCTCCCTCATCCACCCCTAATATCTGTTCCTACTCCTACATTTAAAGTATTTGCAAATATCCATCTTCCTCCTCCTCAAGCTCTCCACCCCTCCCCCTTCATCCTACACCCTCCCAACATACCTCTCTACCGCTTCCACTTGAATACTCGCACGAATCCCCTCTATCACAGCAGTGTCCTTCTCCAGACCCCTCCCCTCGACATTCCTCCTGATACGTCACAACCTTCTCCAGTCCACATTTATCATCCGAATTCTTCTACTTCAACAACCACCTCTGTTTTCCTTGAACAATGTCCCTATTTCTTCCCCAGTCACAGATACAATACAATTCACTCAATCGCTCTACCCCCTTAACGTTTCCCACTTTACTAATCCTTGCTCTACTTCATTTACCTCCCTCTTTTCCCTTTTTGCAACCATACTTTCCTATGACACACTATAATCTTTGACATCTAAAAACTCTCCTGGATTCTACTTTTCCAACAGCTATCTCTGTTTTCCTTGATCATTGTCCCTCTACCTTCCCCAGTGACAGATACACTATAATTCATTCAATTGTCCTACTCCCTTGGTCCTCCCCTTTCTACTAATTTCTGCTCTAGTTCACTTACCCCCCTCTTTTCCCTTTTCACTACCATACTATCCTATAACGCTCTGTAATCTTTGACATCTAACCTATTTTTTCCTAATATTTAATTCCTCTTTACCCATCCCGACACAATGTTATACCATAGTTCAATATGACCTTTGATGTCTATCACATATATTTATGTTTCAAACATTAAAACATTTACTGGGGGCTTGACTCGTAAGCCTCACCCTACGGCTCTATTTTAAATACGCTGCTAATGATTTTAAATGTTGACGTGGCAGAAAATATTAAGTAAATAAATACAGATAATTTTTCCAACAAAAATTAGCGGGGGGGAGGCGTTATCTCGCGGTGCCCCCAGAAACTGTTCAATTCGCTCACCAAACTTGCCCCTTAAAGACAAAGCTTAAATGAGGCTCCTGGAGAGAGAGACAGACATAAGTCATAAGTCTATCAGATGGGTGTTGTATAATTGTATTACAGTTCTAGTCCCCCCCCCCCCATCCCATGCCAGTTGTTGCTGTAGATAATGTGGGGGCCTAGGAGGCAGACACAAGCTGTGCCAGTCATGAACGGCCTAGGGGAGCCATGGGCACGGTATTCCTCTTTTCAGTTATCTTGCCCTTATCCTTCAAGGAGACCCTGAGAGGAGGAATATTTCTCTCCGAATATACTCCAGGCTTACCATAGTCAGTAATGAAGATTTTATACCTTTATTAGGGGCAATGAGGCTTGCCTCTTTATTAACTAGCCCCACTGATTTTAAATCTCTGATCCAGGCTCTCTTTTAACCATGGTTCTGAACACTACTACCACCTCCTCAGTGCCTCCTTCACACAATACTCCCTATTCCACAAGGCCTCGTCCCTTTATTACCCCCACCTCTACAACTCTTGAGGAATCTGTTCATTTCAGCCAAATGGGATCGATTTATTTTGTGATCCCCTCTACAGCCCTTAAATTTCAAAACATTCTTCCTCTTCCAACAATGCCTCCAAAAACAAGTAGGTAAAGTTTCCTTGCGCAGCCCTATCGCTCCGCCTGGTCCAGTTACATCCGAAACACGCTAAAGCAATGTCTACTCTGACTGCCTTCACTGACATACCAATTCATGCCTCATCCCTCCCTTGTACCGGAACTGTCTTCGTCTCCCCAGTAGACTCCCCTGTCTACAACAAGGATTAGTCAGACTGCGAAGAAGACTTATTCGCCTGCCTCATGGGCTATGATGCATCGCTACATCATTCCGCCTAAGGGCCGCCGTAAGTCCTCCGCTGATATTGCCATGATTACTTTCCGTAGACATGACCAACCTCTTGATGTTTATATCGGCCGACCATATCTAACTCCCCCACCCTTTATCCGTTTGCTAATCTCTACCTCATTCTGTAAACAACCTTGCAGAATTCCACATTTTTCCTCTTATGACTTTGATCTAATCACTTGTTAACCCATACCTTAACCCATTTACTCACCCCTGTTTGCCCCTAACAATGTCATACTATCCTGAACTACTTTTGACGTGTTTATGAGCGCTCTGTTGGACCTCAGTAATTGATGCTCCAAATCCTTTTCCTATTATACTGTTTGTGCTTTCTCCAGGTCGTAGCACTCGGTGAATAAAAAATCTTCGTTAGTCTTGAAAATCTTAAGGTGTGCGGCACTTCTGATTCCGCGGGGTAGCAAACTTGAAATATGCAGCAAGATCTCGGCTCAAAGACCGTAACTCCATCTGTGGCTCTTCGTGACTTAGATCATCCCAGTTGTTGCCTCACTGGCAATAACCTTTCAAATATGGTGGAGTTTATGCTCAATGCTTGATTAATCAGGATACATAGCTTAAGTATTTCCGTGTCTTGTAGGTAACCTGCGTAGCTCCTTTAAAATAGGATTTTGAAAATAATCCACATCCACCACCAGATATGGGCATCAGGGCTGATAGGTTTTGAAACTGGGGTTGCTATTTGGTAAGTGAATTTGTACTTGTATCTAAAAAGTCCAGGTAAAAGTTATAATTCTAAAATGTTAAGTTAACGGAAACTCAAAATAGTAAAATGAAATCTGCAAATAGACTAGTGTATGTGCCTTTAACGTTTTCTGTAACACAGGTACACAGAAAATGTTATATTATATCGAATATAACAATTTTAAATCTAAATTAATTTAAGAACGACATTTGCAACACATCCTTTCATTAATCTTGATATTAATCATATTTTAATGTAGTTTAAACGGATCATCATTATATCCTTTTAGTCATGCAGGGGAGGTGGGGAGAGAGAGAGGGAAACAGGGGAAAACAGGAAGAGGGTGGGAGCGATTGAGAGAGAGGGTAAGGGGGAAAAGAGAATATGGAAGGAGGGGGAGAGAGGGGAAGAAAAAAGAGAGGGCGTATTTGAGGGAGGAAAGATATGCCTCTCTCTCACGCACACTCAAACACACACACACACACCACACACACACACACACGCGCGCACGCACGCACGCACGCACGCACGCACGCACGCACGCACGCACACACACACACACACACACACACACACACACACACACACACACACACACACACACACACACACACACACACACACACACACACACGCACACACACGCACGCACACACACACACACACACACACACACACACACACACACACACACACACACACACACACACACACACACACACACACAAATGCAGTCCTCTCCTGTTTGCGGAGAGCCTGCAAGAGAAGATCTGTGAGAGCTCCCGTATGCAGACGATTCGGTGTTGATAGCACACTCAGAGAACTACAGCAAAGATTTCTTCGCATTTTCTCTAAGCACTTCGCTTGGAAAAAAATCTTGAAAGACGGACGATGGTTCTTAGTAGGAGAGGAGGCGAGCAAATTGCAATAATAGTTGGACTTGAAAGACAACCGAACCAATTGAATAACTTCAGATATCTTTGAACGGTGGTGGATCGGAGGACAGGGATGGAACTGCATGTGAGAAGCCGGATTGGAGCAGCGTGGGCAAAATGGAGACAAGTCGGCGGTGTTAAGTCAGACAAAAAAAGAAAAAGAAAAGAAGAATGTAGAATTTGCATAACAGTTGTTTGGCCAGTGCTGCGGCATGTGAGAGAAGTCTGAGCACTAAGAAAGAAGGAAGAGAGCATGGACAGAGATGAGAATGCCACAGTAGCTGATGGGTGTGTTACTACGGGAATGGAGAGACTGAAGGCGCTAGACTGGAGGCAGTCAGTTGTGGAGACGGCAAGAGAGGCTCGCTTGAGGTGATGCGGCCGGGATAAGGGAGGATGGGCCCGTGAAGGAGTGTCGTGTAGGGGGAGAAAAACGAGGTGTAGACGCAGGCTTGGTTGAGAGAGAGACATGTGGCAGCTGGGTCTGGGGGAACAGGAGGCAGGAAAAGCTACTGACGACAACCTATGAAAGTAAAAGGCAGCCAATATATGTCTATCTATCTATCTATCTATCTATCTATATATGTATATATTTACACACACACACACACACACACACACACACACACACACACACACACACAAGTGATATTGGATTGTTAAAAAATACAGAATATCAGAAATATCAGAAATACACTGTTTTAAAAATCAGGCAAACGTGACCGTCCTCTATTGCACGGAGGGCCACTTGTATTTTGTGACGAAATCTTCACAACTGTTAAAATGGCAAAATAGATTTTTACTTAAATTCAAATTGCTAACTCCTGCCTGAGGATAAGTGAATTATTATAGAAACAATGAATCGGGCAACAACTTGTTTCCTTAATTCGATATCATACAGTGAGTTTGTTTTTATTCATGG